TTATTGCGGAGATCAAGATGCAGATTCTTCATCGGATGGCTTGGAAGACAAGGAAGCTAATGAAGTCCAATGGTATGTGACTACGTGGGTGGTGTGCTCTTTCGGTTTTGGATCTTATGGGTTTTTCTTGCCTTTTGTTTTTTGGCGTTTGGTGTTGTTATGTTTTGGTGTATTTCCCTTTGTCATTTTTGGCTCCTTATGACTTTGGTTGTGAGTCAAAGTTGCCGTAGTTTTTCTTGCTGATTGCTTTTGTATTGGTGACGCTTTTTACTGTCTTTATAAAATTGCCTGGGGAAACTCTTCCCCTTTCAGTAGACTCCTTTTGGAGAAAGGGCCAATTAATCCCATTAGGGTCTAATGAGAGAAAGTATGACCTAGCTAGTGTCATTTTCACCCAATTGGACTTATTATGGAGGAATAGGCCGTTTATATCCACTAAAAACAAATGGACCCGTTATGGACCATTAAGACCCAATCTACCTTAGGTACTCCCATTAACTTCTGATTTGAATAACTATGACCCATTTAGTACCATTATGATTCAATTAGACTCAAGTTGGAGAAAACTATACTATTTATGACCCATTTAGTGTCATCTTGACCCAATTAGACTCCTTTGGGATAAATGGGTCAATTAATCCCAATAGGGTCTAAAGAGAGAAATTATGATTTACTTAGTGACATTTTGACCTAATTCGATTTTTTTAAAGAGATATAGGTTCATTATATCCACTAACAGGAAATGGACCCATTAAGATCCATTCTACTCATTTACTCCTATTAACGTCTAATAAGACTAATTATGACCCATTTAGTATCATTATTACACAATTGGATTCAAATACAGGAATTACCCCATTATACACATTAAGGTCTGATCAAACTAAAAATGACCCAATTAGTGTCATTTCAAGTCAATTAGACTCCCTATGGAAACAATGGCCCTATTAAACCCGTTAGGGTCTAATATGATTAATGATGATCCATTTATTGTCATTTTGGCCCAAATGACTCGATTAAAAGAAATAGGCCTATTACACCCACTAAGGCCACATGGACCTATTTAGGACCCTTAAGACCCATTCTGCATCGATTACTCACTTTACCCACTTGTTAGACTAATTATGACCGATTTAGGGTCATCTTGTCCCAATTAGACTTCTTTTGGAGAAATGGTCCAATTAATCCCATTAGGGTCTAATTAGAAAAATTATGAGCTAGTTAGTGTCATTTTGACCCACTTGGACTTATTAAGGAGAAATAGGCCCATTATATCCATGAACACCAAATGGTCCCTTTAAGGACAATTAAGACGCATTCTACCTCAATTACTCACATTAACGTCTGATTAGGCTAATTATGACCCATTTAGTACCATTATACCACAATTACTCACATTAACGTCTGAATAACTAATTATCTTTGTGCTTCACTCAATGCAAACTTATTGGATGTCAGTATTCTTAGTACCGGCCACCACAATCCATGAAATAGAGCAGCTATTTCRTAATTTTTTATGGAATAAAGCAGAGGGTCAGATGGGTAAATGTCGAGTTGCTTGGGGTAAATGTCGAGTTGCTTGAAATAGTTGCTTGGGGTTTTCCAAACTCTTATACGTGATACTTTATCTTTTCGGCCAGGGGTTTTCCCTATACGCTACTTAGGAGTTCCTCTCTCTCCGGTTCGTCTGAAGGTACGTGATTTTAATCCCCTTGTGTTAAAGCTTAAATCTCGACTTTTAAACTGGAAGAATAAATTCCTCTCCTATGGAGGGCGTCGACAACTAATTATCTCAGTGCTCCACTCAATGCAAACATATTGGATGTCGGTATTCTTAGTACCGGCAACCATAATCCATGAAATAGAGGAGCTTTTTCGTAATTTTTTATGGAATAAAGCAGAGGGTCAGATGGGTAAATGTCGAGTTGCTYGGGATACAGTTTGCTTGCCTATTCAAAGTGGGGGTCTTGGTATGAAAAGACTTGCGAATTGGAATAGGTGTCTTCTTTTTAAACATATTTGGGATATTCTAAAGGGCAGACACACTATGTGGGTCTCTTGGATTCAGTCTCACTGTGTTCGGGGACGTAATTTCTGGGTTATTAAGAAGAGGAATGAGTGGTCGTGGATTCTCCGAAGCCTTTTAGACTTAAGATCTCATTGCCGGAGATTCTTTATCTATAATGTGGGAAATGGTTTATCTACGCATGCTTGGGAAGATACATGGAGCGAGTCGGGTCCTCTCATTCAATCTCTTACTTATAGATTCATTAATGGCCAGGGATTTCACAATAACTCCACGGTATCTGATATAATGCAGCGATTTGGTACAAATTGGCCGGTGGACTGGATTCAACAATATCCTCAGCTGCAAAGTGTCCTGATTCCGTTTCCCAGTCAAGTGGAGGATAAGGTCAGATGTCTTGATAATAAACTTTCACGGGGTGACTTTGAGGTAAAATTGGCTTGGAATACTATCCAAGAGGTGAAGCCGGTTGTGCATTGGTATAAACTCGTTTGGAATAAAGCATATGTTCCTAAACATGCTCTTTGCATGTGGATGGCGTGTCAGAAGAAACTGCCAACTCAAGATCGTATTAGTCAATGGAAGTATGAACCGCCGGAGAAATGGGTCTCCACTATGGTCTATCGGTAACGGTCTATAATATCTGGAGGGAACGGAATAGGAAGTTCTTTGACAATTTCAATCATTCGGGGGATAAAGTTATTGCGGAGATCAAGATGCAGATTCTTCATCGGATGGCTTGGAAGACAAGGAAG